GATTGTTTTATTTAAAAAATATATATATATCTTCTTCGATTCACTAAAAATTATCAGGTGACCCTTAGTCAAAAGCTGTTTTGCAATTCTATTACACAACACTTTGTTCACTCCATAATTTTTACAAGTTTTTTTATTTTTGTTTTTTTGTTGCTCACTGTGCCTGGGACTTGGCTTGGACCTTGCTCAGGACCTTGCCCAGCCGGGTATTCCCGGCAGCCAGAGGCAGCCTGCGGGGATCAGAAAACTATCCTGGATAAAGGTTCCAGACACCCACAATCACTGTAAATCTCCTACAAGGCAAAGCAGCCTGGACAAACATCAGCCAGGGTCAGCCAAAATAATCGCCAAGAGAGGGATCGGAGGGCAGATTCCTTATCTACTGTCTCAGTATACATAGGTCATTCACAGAGTTTACAGTTATACATAGCTCATTCACAGAGTTTATGGATATACAAGCTCATTCACAGAGTTAAAAAAAACATAGTTTATTCACGGAGTTTCCATAGAAGATCTGAGGTGAGAAGACAAACCATCAGTTCCCCCACAAAAATGCGCGATTCCCAGTGGCTGAGACTTGTTCCTTCACCTCCATTGTTTTCCAATTCAGCCCCGTTCAGTGTTGGACAACCAAAATGCTCCCTTGCTTCTTGAAGCACCTGCATGCCAGTTTATTAACAAACACCAGAGCACCAAAACAGCTTGAACACAGTGGCAATAACTCCTGCATGCAAACACTGGTCCATGACCCAGTTGCATGCTTTTTTTCACAGCTCATTATCTAGCTGTTGATTCTCTCACGCAAGCCTCGTTCTACATTCAAATTAACACCTTGCACTCTCTACTGTCAGAGTACTCAAGGTGACGCAAAGAAGGGACATCCGCTCTCATCAAAAGATCTCTAACAGGGAGTAGGGTGGGGCCGCCGGTGGTGGTGGGGGGGGGGTGCGCAAACACAAAGACCGAGAGCACTTTGCCAGCAGTTGTGGTTCTCCAATACCGAACAGGGGGCACAATCCAACTCTCTCCCTGACCAACGTCGATCAGGGCGATGGGCAACATGCATCCCCTTAATTGTGAGAGGTAGATATGCTTGCAGGGGTCCCCTGTATAGGCTTAGGAGTAGTGGTAGGTAGGATCTGTTCATGAATAGTTCTGAATGGTATGCACGTGTGTACACAGATGTAAGCTTTCTTTCCTGTAGTGTTGCCAGTTGAGGGTAACTATTGATAAACAGGACATAAGTTCAAACCCCGATGGCATGGGATGGATACAAGAATGTTAGGGGCCTACCCTCTTCAAAAACGAGAAGAAAGGAGAAACAAAAAGGAATGCCAGCACGATCTGTGCTGCAGGGCCCACCCAGACAGAGACTCGTCGTTTCAGAGAGCACCAAGAGTACTTCATACAGGCATAAGAGTTGCTCACCACCCCACTCACATCAGCGAGAAAAGCAGAAGATAAAGCTATTCCACTCATGCAAAGAAAACGTAATTGACCATATCAAACAGAGGCAAGAATTGTGGTTCCCATCTACTTCCCCCGCCCCCATCGAGTAACAGGAGAGTCTATGGCCAGCACTCTCCCACACACAAACACCCATGATGGCCAAGGGCCCTCCAATACCGAACAGGGGGAGCAAGCCAACTCTCTCTCCCTGACCAACACCGATCAGGGCGGTGGGCAACATGCATCCCCTTAATTGTGAGAGGAAGGTATGCTTGCAGGGGTCCCCTGTATACACTTCGTAGTAGTGGTAGGTAGGATCTGTTCATGAATAGTTCTGAATGGTATGCACGTGTGTACACAGATGTAAGCTTTCTTTCCTGTATTGTTGTCAGTTGAAGGTAACTATTGATAAACAGGATGTAAGTTCAAACCCCGATGGCATGGGATAGATACAAGAATGTTAGGGGCCTACCCTCTTCAAAAACGAGAAAGGACAAACGAAAAGGAATGCCAGTACGAGCTGTGCTGCAGGGCCCACCCAGACAGAGGACACTCGTCGTTTCAGAGAGCACCAAGAGTACTTCATTCAGGCATAAGAGTTGCAGCACGTGGAAAGCAGCTCGCACCATCCCACTCACATCAGCGAGAAAAGCGGAAGATGAAGCTCTTCCACTCACGCAAAGAAAATGTAATATCAAATAGAGGCAAGAAGGGGGCAGAGGGAGAAAGCCGGTATTGTCGAGTGTTCACGAGATGATAAAAGGCAGCTAGGGCAATGGAGGGCAGAGGGCAGAGACAATGGCCCACAGCCTTGCAACTGTCTTCAACTTCAAGGAGGCAAGCATGTTAGAGCGCCTGTAGAGAGGAAGGGGTCGGGAACAGGAGCGATTGTAAGTGGTACAGATGAGGCTGGCTGAGACGGGCCCCCTCAAAAATCTCGGCATACGCAGATATCGAATTGTGTCGTTGTGTCGACTGCAAATGAATGCCGTGCTGCAATCATGTTTTGCACGAGTGCTGTGGATCATGCGATCCCCCCGTTCTGGAGGGCTTGCCACCGTTGGGCATCAGCAACAGCTGGGAGAGGTGAAGTCCGTTGCCAGGAAAGGTGATGTGGGGTGGTGGGGGTGGTAGCACAGTGTGTAAGCCTTCTATGAGGGAGTATGCATGAGCTTTGCTCAGAGATTGCAAACTCCTACTTCTCCTACAGCCACACCCGACCCATATTGAACATCCATAACATTTGGCAGCTGCAGCCAGCCGTAAGTGCACGACCTGACCCAGCCACAGCTGTGCCCAATTTAAGCGTAAAAACCCAGGCCCGCCCGAGCCCAGACCATGAAGAAGAATTGCAGCCGGACCTGCCTAGACCCAGACATATTTTTCACCACCTGGCCCAACCCAGGCCCTTGAGCACAATCCCACCTGCACCCGCCCATAGCTTTCATGAAACAGAACCAGACTGGATTTGCTTTTCAAAAGAAAATTCTGACCAGATCCAGACTGGACCTGGTTTTCAAACAACTTTCCCACTGCATCCAACCCAGAACTGATGTTTCAAAATTTTCCCACCCCCGCCCGACCCAGCTGGGTGGTCAACCGCATCCAACCCACCCAGGACCCATACAACATCCACCCATGACCCACCCAGACCCACCCATGCGGCCATGCCCCACCTGTTTTCTGCCAACCCATGCCCCATACCTACCCACCCTAGAGGCCACTCCACTGTACACCTTGGAGTTCGGCGTTCACCGAACTTCGCCCAACGCTGTTCCCCATGTGTGTTCCGTCGACATTCCCTGCCATCCACGACCCCTTCCAACGTCATTAGCACTCATTCCGTACTCCCACTCCAGCTTGGAAATTTGAAAAGTGAAAACCAAGCTTGCTCTGCATCACCGAGGCTCCACCGCCACCCTACTTGGAAACTTACACATCTTCTGAAATTGTTCAAACAAATGACTGCACATAACCAGTAACTGCAGTCTCTTCAGGGCAGCTTGGGCAGCTTGGGCAACTCAGTCGGCCTGCACTTTTTTCCTTTTTTTTCTGAAAGGGGTTGCCCCTACCATTATTATGTTCATCTGATTCCATCAGGATTCAACTCATGAGCCGTTTACTAATAACTACATGTGTGTACCATTCAGCTACATGGGGTGGGTTGCCCGCCATTTTTCGCGCATGGGCACCAACAGACCGCCACCAGGGCAGAGTCAATGGGAAACTGGGATAAACAGCCATCTTAGAATCTTAGATACAGAAAAATACATATATGACGATATGTATCTGTATATATGTTTCTTTTTTTCCTAGAGGTTCTGGTTTGGCTCACCCGACAAATTTTCCACCCAGCTGTGGCCCGTAACTGGGCTCTCCTACCACCTGGCTGGACCAGCCACGTCTGGCTCTGAGAGAACTGCACCTGGACCAAGCCCGTCAGGTGCAGCTGGGGCGGGCGGTTTGCACCCATGGCCACTTGATTGCGGGCTCTGATACTCAGCCTGACCATTCCCACCTATATCATTTTTGGCCCCGACAATATAGAACCCTCTATAAACCATTGGAACTCGAGAACAACTTGGTACATGAATGAAAGTCTCAAGACAACTGCACATGTCACATATGAGTGGCAGAAAAAGAGTCAGAAGACAGAATTCAAAGCATATCGAGGTCACACCTCCAGCAAACTGGTGGTCTGTTAAAAATATAACATTATATTATTTATATATACTAGATGACCCGTTGCAGCTTCGCCCGCAAAAACAGAAACGGAAAAAAGCACAAAAGAGAGAAAAATCATAAGGAACTACCCTATCATATGCCGCTTCTTTCACAATACGAAAAAGAACAGCCTGCGAGCAGACGAAAACCTGCGTGCAAGAAAATAGGAGGGAATACCACCGAGCCTTTTTTTTCCCTTTATCTTTGAGTGTTTTGTTTGGGGAGCCATTACCTTCGCAGCATCGTTTTTGTTTTGTGATGTGCAAGAACTCTGCACTTTTCTGAGAAAATCCTGTCCATTGTCCCGCTGATGTTTTTGCAGCTAAAGATTCAGATTCAGACTTTGTTTGCTGCGTTCTCTGGATATGTTTGTGATCAACCCATCTTGCATGTATGCATGCCCCGTGCTTACTTGTTGAGTTTTTACGCTATGTGCGCAAGTGCATGCGTGTGTGGGTGAGTCTCATTTTGGTGGGCTCGGATGATGTCATTGACGATTGGCCCGGGGAAGTTGAAGGAAGTCGGCTCCAACTATAGGAGTGAGACTGATGTTACGCAGGTTTTGCATTGTACGAATGAAACAATCAGCATTCAATCTGCTCGGCAGTTGCTCTTCGGGTGGGGGACTTCTCGGGAGTAGCATTGACATGAGAGCATCTTGGAGCATTTCCGGGAAGGCAAAACGCAAAGAAGAAATGAAGTAGCACGTGTCAGAGTCACATAACGGACAGCTTGGCACAGCCCCCCCCCTTCTCTCTCTCTCTCACACACACACAAAATTCTCTCTCTCTCTCTCTCTCTCTCTCTCTCTCTCTCTCTCTCTCTCT